CGGGGGGGCACGAGGAGGTTTAGCTGCCTTTAAGCAGCAGGGTTTAGCTGCAGGATCCGGTGCCAGGACAATGTGGGAGCTTTTGCAAGCCCTGTGCTCCCTGCCCTGTGCTGCCGAGTGAGGGGGAGCGGGTTCGTCCGGGGCCAGGGGCCTTGGAAAGGGAATAACTGGAGCCGGTGGAGAGCTTCCCCAAGGGATCTGGCCACAACACCTTGGGATGGGTCCCTCTTGGGGCCGACACCCCTTCCAAAGACCCATTTTTCCCAGGACAAAGCACCCATTTGTTGATGCCAGGAGTTGTGTGTGAGTCTGAAAAACTCACCTGTGATGAGCACAGTGGCCAGGATGCCCAGGTGGCCAGGGGAGCACAAGACCCCTCTGCCACCCTCGTGCAGGGCCATTGGGTCTGTTCAGGAGCCCCCGTGCTGACCATGTCCCCCCCTCACACAGCATCTTGCTCGCTGGGCTGCAGACAAATGGCCAGTGAGCTCTAGGAGTGAGCTGAGCCTTGTGTCAGGGCTGGAGTGGGAACGGGACAGGGAGGTTGGGAGGTCTCCAGAGGACAGCAGCACGTGGTGCCCCTGGCCACGGCAGCATCGCCTGGGGTCTTGGCACAGCTCTGGGTTTTCCCTCCCAGCTGCCCCCTGCCCTCCGTGTGGAGTCTCGTGCCTTCCTCCTCCTCCCTCCCTCGCAGTGGGGGCTCAGCTCCATTTGCAGGGCAGCCCCGTGGACGCAAAATCCATAAATCCCAGTGGCATTACAAAACATTCCTTGTATAAGTCCCTTCAGATCTGCTGTGGTGCTTAGCCTGGCCCCACCACCTCCCCAAAATTCCTGTCACAGTAAAAGCTGAGCTGGGCTCCTCTCCCGGGCTTGGGGAAGGAGCTATGCACAACCCTGGGCCCAAAAGGAGTTAAAGCTGCAAGGGCTCCACTGCCCCATGCGGCTCCAGGATGCTGGGATGAGGATGTCCTTAAAAACCTCATTTTGCCATTCAGCTGCACCCACAGTGGGCTTGGCACGGTCCCTGCTGCACCCCAGGGCTTCCCTCCCTTGCAGGTCCACAGCATCCTCCCAGGGATGGACTAGGTTCCACTTCCCAAAGCTCCAAGCAGGCAACCATTGCTCGGAGGCGTTGTAATAAAATCTATCTGGCTGTGTTTATTTTATTTCAAAAGCTGAAAGGGGCCCCGTCTGGATGCTGGTTTGGGTGGCTTTGTTGGGGAGGAGCTGGTGCGCCCCAGGAAAAAAAACCCCCGGGGCCCCCCCCTGCCACGGACCCATCCCCACAGCCAGACCCTGCTCACGTGGCCAAATTCACAGGGGGGCCTTGCCAGGCTTTTGGGGTAGAGGGCCGGGGTGGCAGCCTGCCCACCGCCTGCCCCTGCCCCGTGCTAATGAGCGAGTTACACAACGAGAACCTTTTATACTTGGCTAATCGGGTCCGGCATCCCAGCCCGCCTCGCCACGCACGCCGCCGCCGGAGCCCCGGCTCCCTCCTTCCCTCTCCTCAGCCGCCTTTGGTAAGGTTTTAATGGGGTTCCTTGCCTGGGTTGCGTTGGCTTAATTACAAAGCTGCGGGGAGCTGATGCCTTGTGACGGTCTAATCCCAACCCGGTGACTCTACAAAGCTTCCGCCCGGCTTCCTTCCCGCTCCACTCCGGCTCCGCCTCGGCCCCGTGCGCTGCTGACCCTCTGTGGACGGCTCAGCTCTCCCTCTCCCTGGTGAGTATCCGGGACTTTCTCCATCCAGGATAACTGCATCGGAGACGGTCACCCAGCCCACGCTTAATTTGGCACCTCCGAGGCTGGGTTTGCTTTGAGCGCCTGGGAAAAGGGATTCTGTCCGGGAAGAGGATGCCCATGGGAAGGGGTTGAGCTGGAGCCAAGCATCCCTTGCACAGCCTGGGCTCAGGGCTGGTGCTATGGGGTTGGGCACAGGAGGGAGGAGGAAGAAGGCAGGCTTCCTCCTCCTCATGCATGGCAACAAGGCGTTTCACCCAGGTAGTGTCAGAAAAACACCGAGAGGCTGATGTTCCAACCTTGCGGCTGGCAACGGGCTCCGGGCTGGAGCAGCAGGGGCTCAAGGGTCTGGGGAACACCTTGGGGATAACAAGTCAGTAGAAATAAAAGGAGGTCAAAGCGTGAGCTGACTGCCCACCTGGTCAAGGCTGGGCACTCATCTCTCTGCCTGTATGAGGATGGTCTGAGATAAAATGGCACTGGGTGAGCTGCTGGAGTGGGAGGTCCCCATGAGATAACCTCAACCACCCATGGAAAGTCAGACCTGGAAAAAAAGGATGAAGATGTCCGATGATGAATCCCCATGTTTTTAAGCTGCTTTCACCAACACCTCTGGTGTTTCTCCAAGCCGCTCAGCCCAGTGGGCAGGCAGAGACTCAGGCAGCATGGGATGGAGACGAGGATGGCTGGGGGCTGAGCACGAGGGCAGGGGATGGAGCGTGGGGCCATCAGGATCCCCAGTGCTGCTGATTCCTCCTTCCCTCTCCCAGTGTCCTGCAGCTGACGGAGGACAGAGGACAACATGTCTGCAGTTGTGAGTACTGTCCCTGTGTCACCCCCGGGCTCCCAGCACCTTCTCTGCACAGCACTGGGATGGGGCTCACCCCACACACCCCTTGGCTGCTCTCAGCCCACAGCGGGTGCCCGGGCAGCCTGCGGCTCATCCCCATCCCACTGCACCCCACCGGGTGCAGGCATGGAGGCTCTGCCCTTCCCTATAGCCCTCTCTCCCAGGAGCCCCGTGGTGGGGCAGGGAGTTGGGGCGCCGGCCGGGGAAACCCCACATCCTTCCCTTGCCCCTAGACGGGCACCTTCCGCATCGTCTCGGAGGAGGAGCAGGCCCTGCGCACCAAGCTGGAGCGCCTGACCACCAAGGACCACGGCCCCGTCTTCGGGAGGTGTGAGAAGATCCCCCCGCACACCCTGCAGAAGGTGAGGGTGGCTGTGAGGAGCAGGGGCAGCCTGGGGCTCCTGCTCCTCGGGGGTCCTTGCCGAGGTGGGGATGCGCTTCCTCCAGAGGATCTCTGAGTACGGGACCTACTCGGTACTTAAAGAGTGGCTACCAAGAAGATGGAGACTCCTTTTCTACAGGGAGTCACATGGAAAAGATGAGGGGTAACAGGTACAAGTTACTCCTGGGGAGCTTCCAATTGGACTCAAGAGGAAAATTTTTCACAGTGAGAACCATCAGTTGTTGGAATAACCTCCCCAGAGAAATGGTGGATTTCCCAGCACTGGATGCTTCTAAGATTTGGCTGGACAGGGTGCTGGGCCATCTTGTCTAGACTGTGCTTTTGCCAAGAAAGGTTGGACGGGGTCATCCTTCCAGCCTGTGTTTCCACGATTCTATCACCTGGGTGTCCCTGCCCTCCCTGCACCAGGATGCTGCGGCGAGCATTGCTGCACCCCGACTGGTGCTTGGGTGGCCCCGGGGGTGGTTTTGGGGGGGATCACTAAGTTGGGCCCCGCGTGTGCTCCCCCCCAGGCGAAGGACGAGCTGAACGAGACGGAGGAGCAGAGGGAGGTGGCGGTGAAGGCGCTGCGGGAGCTGGTGCGGGAGCGGGCGGGCAGCGAGGACGTGTGCAAGGTGGTGGCTGAGAAGATGCAGGGGAAGGACGACTCCTTCTTCCTCCGCTTCATCCGCGCCCGCAAGTTTGACGTCCACAGGGCCTACGACCTGCTGAAAGGTGGGGAAGGGTTCTGGGCTGTGACACCAGGCAAGGACGGGGTTATCCAGCCCCCCCGCTCTGGGCTGAGCTGGCAGAGCAGGGCTCTAGCGTGGGAAGGAGATGAGGAGAGAGGGTGAACAGAAAAAGGCAAGAGTGGGGGCTTGGGATGTAGGGGAAGGAGTTGGGATGGGAAAGGAAGCAAATGAGGGTGGTGCAAGGCATCTCACAAAGCCAGGACATTCCCATTCCTTGCGAATTTACTACACAAAATGGGAAAAAAAAAACCCCATGTGTTTGGCAGTGGTAGGCTGCTAAATTTGTGTAGCAAACCCAGCTGGTTTGGCTGCACCCTTTGGAGAAGCCCGTGCCCTATGCACACCCCTCCATACCCCAGTAAGGAGCTGGTCCTGCACCCCCCCGATTCTCCTGTGAGAGGTGCCTGGCTGCCTCAGCACCCCTGGGACCCCTAGGGGGCTGGGGGTTGGGGGGCGTGTGGCACCCCTCCCTGCTCTGGGGGTGACCCATAGGGGTGGAGGGGGAAGCAGGATGACAGCCGGGGGGTGGCCGTGGCGGGGACCTGCCTGGCTCCAGCTCTGCTTTTCTTTGTGGGATAATGAGTTGCAATTATCAGCGCTGGCTCTCGGATGAGAGGTTTTGTTCATCCCTATTTTCCCAGGACGAGATTCTGTATTTCGTGCCTGCAGGGTGCCAAGGGAGGGGAGCTGGGGGGTGTCACCCACCCAGGGAGGAAGGGGAGAAGGGAAATGAGGGGAAAAATGACTTTGTGTGCTCGTCGAGGTGTTGGAGAGAAGGCAGGCGTGGGAAGCCCTGGCATGGGGAGAATAACACCGAGCATGTTGGGGCTGGTCTGCTGCTGAGCTCCTTTTCCCCAGCTTTGCTGGAGGAGACCTGACCCACGTGGACCCCGGGCACAGCTGGTGTGCAGCTCTTGGGCTCAGGACCACCACCACAACGGGTCCATCCCCTCTCTGGTGGCTCCCCCAGCTTCCCGGGGCCGGGCGAGCAGCCGTGGTCCTCCCCAATTTCTGCCTCTCTCCAGGCTACGTGAACTTCCGCCAGCAGTACCCCGAGCTCTTTGACAACCTGACCCCCGAGGCCGTGCGCAGCACCATCGAGGCTGGCTACCCTGGCCTCCTGTCCAGCAGAGACAAGTACGGCCGGGTGGTGATGCTCTTCAACATCGAGAACTGGGATTACGAGGAGATCACCTTCGATGAGGTCAGCCCAGCCCAGCCCAGCCCTTGCTCCTGGAGCAGCAGGGTCCTGCTCCTGGGCTTGCTCCTCTCGGCTCACATCTGAGCACAGCATCTCTTACCCATGCACATGCATCTGCCCACACGCAGCCTCCAGTCATCCAGGCTGGAGCAAAGCTGTAGCCCTTGGAATTGGTCCTTCGAGGGAGAGCGTGGTCCAACCCAAAGGGTTCCTTTTCCTTCCCCCCCATGGAGTGCAAGGTGCAAGCCAAATTCAGGCGTGTATCCCCTAGCCCAACAGAGGATGAAGAAAGGCACCACATTGTTAAACCATGGTGCTTTAGAAAGGAGGAACCCACAGAGGAGGAAACTGAGGCACAGGGCACAGAAAGGGCTTTTTGGCAAAGAGGTCTCCAGGCATATAACTCGCACATTCTCCAAGTTCCATTTTCTGCTCAGTGCTGAATTGGGTGGCAAGGTTGCCTTGATACAGACCTGAGAGGTACCCACCTTGAAAGGGGAATGGGGTGGTTGATGAGTATCCCCCCAAATGCCCTCTCTGCTCTGGAGTCCTGGGGCTGGCTGGAGTCAAGCAGAGCCTGGCTAACAATCCGTGGGAGTCTTCCTGGGAGCCTCATAGGGTCTATGGGAGGTGAGACCTAATACCAGATCCTGCTGTCTCTCCCCTCTGTCAGATCCTTCGTGCCTATTGTGTTATCTTGGAGAAGCTGCTGGAAAATGAAGAGACCCAGATCAACGGGTTCTGCATCATTGAGAACTTCAAGGGCTTCACCATGCAGCAGGCATCAGGGATCAAACCCTCTGAGCTCAAGAAGATGGTGGACATGCTGCAGGTTAGGTGGCAAAGTCTGTGCCCAGCAGTGGCAGAGCAGTCCCTGTGGGAGCAGAGAGCTCAGCAAGGGGTGGGGGCAGGGGTAGCAGGGTTTGGGATTACCCCCACATTGGCACCATGAGAAAGCACTATGGAGAGGCTGTTCCCTGGCACATGCTCCTTCTTGTGCCAACTAATTGGCTAAATCCTGTGAGATAGATCCTATTTTTGTGGCCCCAGCTCCTTGCCCTCTCAAATGGCCAACCAGAAGTGGTACCACTACTCCCTGCAGCACCTTACAGCATGGCCTGGAGGCCTTTCCTTACCACCTTCTCAGCCCAGCCCCTCCCTGGCACTCCAGGATTTCTGCCCTTGGGCCAGAGGCACTCAGCTTTCCCCAGGGAAGGATGACAGCAGAGATGTGGTCCTTCTCATGGAATGGGAACAATGAACCATCTGTGAGGCTCTTCATCATCTCGGGTCCTCCAAGGGCTGGGATGGCTGATCTTCTAGGTCAGGAAAAAAAAAAGGGTCCTTCAAAGAGAGTAGGGGATATTGGGCACGGGGAGCTGCAGGGGTGTCCATTGCATACCTGGCTCCGCATGGCCAGCACCCTTTGTAACCATCCACGTTTGGGTTTGGGATCACAGGACTCCTTCCCAGCACGGTTCAAGGCTGTCCACTTCATCCACCAGCCTTGGTACTTCACCACCACCTACAACGTGGTCAAGCCGTTCCTGAAGAGCAAGCTGCTGGAGAGGGTGAGTGTGGGAGAGGGACCCGGAGGCAGAGGCATGTCCCTGGGTGAAACAGAGCAGCTGGGAAGAGTCACCCAGGACCTCTGCTGAGAGCTGCTCTCGTCTCCTGCCAGGTCTTTGTGCACGGGGACGAGCTGGAGTCCTTCTACCAGGAGATCGACGCCGATATCTTGCCAGCAGACTTCGGTGGCAACCTGCCCAAGTATGACGGCAAAGCAACTGCAGAGAAGCTCTTTGGGCCCCGTGTCGAGGCTGAAGACACAGCTCTCTAAAGGGGCCCGCTCTCCCTCCCCTGTAAGATAGGATGGGAGGTGGCCTCCAACCCCAGCCACCTCCTCCCCGTAGCGTTGGCTGAACGGCTGCTCGTGACGAGGCGCTCCGGGCACGCTGCTCCCTGCCTGTCCCTCCCCTCCCCAAACCTGGCAGCAGGCTGCCCGGCAGCTCTGTGCCCCCTGGGCAGAGCACCCTTCCCTCGGGAGCTGACAGACAGGAGGCCCCCAGCGAGCCCCAGAGCTGCGGGAGGATGAGGAGGCTGTCTGCTCTGGGGAGGGGGGGCTGCAGCAGGGGGGAAATAAAGCGTTGAACAGCAGAGCTCCAGGGTCTCTCATGGCACGTGACAAGGAACAAGGGTGCCACATTCTGGGCACAGGTGCTGGCTCTGCTGCTGGTCCTAAGGAGGCCAGGAGTGTCAGTGCTGTCTCCTCATCATTGACCGCTGTTTGGGACCAGCCACCTCCCTCCTCCCTGCATCCCAGAATGACCCACACCCCAGCTGGGCAAGGGCTCCCCATTCTCAGTCATCTGCTCTAATCAGGAAAGAGATAACAGCCCAAAAAGATGCAAAGAACCCAACCAGGGACCAGGCAGAGCTGGCTCTGCCCAATTCCTGCTCAGCCAGGCAGGCAGGGAGGAGGAACAGAGTCTGCAGCAGCCACTAAGGCTAGGAGATGGATTTTAACCACAGAACAGTGAAAGACAAGCAGAATATAGTCTCCTTAATCCTTCCAAAGCCTTGGCACAGCTGTTTCTCCTAGCACTGTGTCATGAGAGGGAACTCAGTGAGGGAGGCTTCACCAAAGCTACCACGGAGGGCAGAGGAGGCTCCTTGCCCTGCCAGCAGGACCAGGGTGGGGAGGAGGGAGGCAGAAGAGTAGCTCTGTCCCAGGCAAGGTACTCTGTTGTGCTTCATGAACCAGCCCTCTCCTCCAAGAAGCTGATCAGATACCTGTCTCCAGACCACCTTACCCTCCCTTGGCTTGTAGCAGGGCTTGGAGAGGAGCAAGGTCTCTGCCCAGGTTACCTCCTGCCAACGTGTTCCTGCAGCGTGGCCTGTCCCCCTCCCTCCCAGCTCTGCAGCTACACAGGGGTGCCTTTCATCAGCCAGAAGACCAGACCCCCACCTGAAGCTGGCCAAGGCAGAGGGTGCTGACAAGAGCCCCATTCATCAGGGCCCTGGCTCAGGCTCAAACCAAGCATGACATGGGCTCCGAAGCTGCAGGGAGGACAGAGCCTGTCTGGGCAGAAGGGACTGGGGTTAAATCCATCCACAGGGTTAGTCCATGCAGGGCAAGTCTCAGCCTGAGGCTGCAGCAGCCTGTGTGAGAGCTCCAGGGCAGGGTGGGAGCAAAAGGCACCACCACAAAGAAACCATCTGTGACAACCCTACAACTATCAGGCCAGTGCAAATACAACAGCACTTGCAGTGCTTGGGAGACCAGGTGATTGCAGCTTGCTTGTAAAAACCAGAGGGAGCAAAAGGCACCACCCCAAAGAAACCATCTGTGACAACCCTACAACTATCAGGCCAGTGCAAATACAACAGCACTTGCAATGCTTGGGAGACCAGGCGATTGCAGCTTGCTTGTAAAAACCAGAAAAAGATCAAAAAATCCCTATGTGCACTTAAAGGAGCATGACAGTGCTGCCTCTGGGATTGGGACTGGGATAGTCACAGCTGTCAGGAGGTCCCTGGGGCTGCTCACCACTGCTGGGACAAATTGTCAGCCAGTAGCTTGCTTTGATAGGAGACAGAACAGCAAACTGAGCAGTGAGCACAACCCATACCAACTTCACCTTCCCTCCAGCATGACTCTGACCAAGCCAGGAAGGGGTTCTGAAGTAGATCTAACATGTAAATCACATTGACCAGGCAAGCTAGAGATGGAGCCTAAAGTGCTGCCTCCACCAGAGCAATTCTCATTGCAGGGGAAGAGCAGTGATGGTCCTGGCCCAGCCACCCCAGCAGCTCCCTGCTCCCAGCTACCCTCCACATCTGCCTCACTTGCTCTGTGGGTGAAAGAACCACAGAGCAGTGAGCTTTCAGTGTCAGTCAAGTATTGCTTTTGGCAGGGCTCTCCCATGTGTGTGTTTCCATGGTGTGTTTCCTCTGCCAGCAGCTGAAAGATCAGGAAATCCACTCACTCCCATGTAAAAAAAGGTAGGGAAAAATAACAGTTGGTGATTTCTGCAGAAACACGTGAGCCCAAAGCTTTGCCCCAGGCTCCAGGGAAGCTGCTGTGCTAGAGGAGAGTCCTTCCATGCACTGCAGGAAGGGCCACAGTTGAGCCCTGCCCCTGCTCTCAGTCCTGGCAAAGCTGTAGGTCTGGAGGAGGAGCCAGCAACATCATAATCCTAGGAGAACCTGAGGGCTCACACAGGACTGCCACAACCTGCTCTTGTCCACTGGCAATAACAAAACCCTTCTTCAGTGTTTTCACAGGGCAGACATTCACATCTGTTCTCTACCAGAGCAGCACCAAGGACCTCTCTTGGCCAGAAAAAAAAAGCAACAGGGAAAGGCTTGAGCATCACTAGTGCTTGTGCCACATGCTGCAAGGGAGAAAGGGGGAGAAGAAAAAAAGTCACCCTCAGCTAGCTCCCCAACTGAGGCCTCAGGGAAGGCTGAGCTGCCAGGCTCTGCCAACTGCCAAGAAAGCCTCATGCTCCTTTGCTCAAGAGCAAAGCCCAAGTCCAGCCCCAGCTGCTGTAAGAGCCAGGGCAATTGTATACTCCTCTAGACAGAGCAGGACTTGCTGCAACTGACTTCTCCCTAGAGGCTTCCTGTAGCAGCTCTGCCCTTGTCCTGCTCCCTGGAACACAAGAGACAGAGGAAGGCTCCATCTGGAGGTGGCAATAGTAGCAGGAGCTGGCACACCATCCATGTGTTGTTACTTACAGCCCCTCTGCAGTCTTCCCCTTTACCAGCTTCCAGAGGGCAGCAGAGCCAAGTCTTTGAGAGCTGGGCACAGAAGCTGCATGAAGTGAAAGGTGGAGAAGACAACCCCAGTGCTGTCACAACTCTCATCCTCCTCAGAACTGTGGAAGAAGGGACTCATTCACAGTTCCTAGAATAATTAGAGTCCCTACATTTACCACTAGAATAGCCAAGGTAACACCAAAGCTGATGAAACAGGAGTTACTGACAACAGTTGTCCTGTCTGTACGTGAGGGAACAGCAAGCCAAGCCAACACCTTGGGTATACCATGAGGATTTAAGGTCAGCCTGGTCAAAAGGCAACCTAGTGACTAGAAACTAACATCAAACCCTACTTCCCACTGAATAATGGAAGGACTGGGGCTAAAGGATTCCTCTTGTTCCCTCTTTAGCTAATCCAAATCACAAAACTGAGGGAAGAGACCAAGTCAAATGCAACTGAGTATCTGAACATTACCTTGTTGGCCAATGTATTCCCACAGGAGATGATCCTCTCCCCCCTGCAGGAGAAAGCAAGCAGAGCTGGTTTGCCTGTCAGGAGTGACAGCCAGACTCCATCACTCAATAACATCAGGCAGCCATCACATGTAGCACTGACTTCGATAAGTCCTTTATTTTTAAATAAAGAAATCCACTGAATCAAAGATAACAAAATTACATTTTGTTTTGCGATGACCTCCATTTTACACCACACAGAAGAACAAAAATTAAAGAAAACAATCAAAGATTTTTTTTTAATATATTTATATATATATAGTTTTAAAGGTAAACATCAGCAGATATAGAAAAATTGCATTGCTAGTTGCAAATCATCTCCCCTGCAGCTTTCAGCTCCAGAGAATCTGACTCAGAACATGGCAGTGGGGAAGGTGTCTCAGTATACAAGCTTTTTCAGGGCACCATTTAGAGGTGGTTCCAGAGTATAATTTTGCTTATTTGAAAATATTTTCATAATAAAACTGCTCACCAAGAAGTCACTCAGCCTGTTCTAATGCAGCTGCATGGGTGAAACAAGAAGGGCACAGGTCTGTTGCTCCTGAACTCTCCACAGGCCTCTTCAGCTGGGGATTTTCAGAGAAAGGTTATGCCTTCTCGAGAGGAACATCTAGCAAAAAACATGCTCCTCTGGAAAGCTGCTGAGAGGCTAAGCAGGAGGGTTTGGTTACAGCAAATACTAGTGGGTTTTGTTTGGTGCCTTTTTTTTTTTTAAAAAGATTTTCCAGTTGGCAGGGTCAATATCCCAGTAGAGCTATAGGGGAGATCCTGGGAGAAAGTTCTGTATCTAATCAAAGCTCTTGCATGACCAGAGAGAGACAGTGCAAGCCTGTTACTCATCCAGAAGCCAAAAGGCTTGATGTAGAACCACCTTGTGGGACTGGGCTCCTTACTGGCATTAGAACTACCTGGGTTAGGCAAGGCCATGGGGAAAGAAAAGCCTTTATCCACAAGTGATGGGGGCTGGACCTTTTGGAGAGCATTACCAGACAGACCTGAAACCAGCTTTCCAATACTAGCAAAGCCAGCCTGATAAATGCTGCCCTGGCCTGCAGTGTCTGTGCCCATTATTAACCAGCAAAACTAAGAATAGAGATGTTCAGAATGCAGTGGGTCAGGATAACCCTAGAAACCCTTCCACCACAGCGTGGAAAGCTGGCAATTGCTTTGACTCCTTGATGGTGCTTACACCTAAGCTCCCCCAAGAGCTGAGAAAGTCCAGGCCAGTGTAGCAGACACCCCCAGTGATAAGAGGGGTACAGTTACAAGGCAACCCTCCCTTGGGCTGGTGTTGCTCTGAGGCATTCTAAGCTTGGAGAAAACTCAGGAAGTCCTTGTGATCTTTGCTTTTCACCTGGAAACCATGAATGAGACACTACTGAGTTCACTGTGGCTCCAACCAACAGACCCATCCAAGGAGGAAGGAAACATGGAGCATGACTCAAGCCAGAAACAAGATGCTCTTCACAACAAATGACTTACACATGGAGCACACGGCCAGGGCCTCTTCTGGTCTCCTGGAAAAAGGCTGTGAAGAATTTCAGTCAACTCCAGGCAGGCCTAATATTTCTTGAACAACTTGGAAGCAATCCAAGTGACTAAACTGTTTGGCAATTAAATCCTGAAGTTGCTACTCTCTGCCTTTTTTTGAGATTTAGTCACTTAGGCAATCTACCTCCAGCTGCACTGCTGGAGAGTTAAGAGACAAGAACTTTGGGATTTTAAGGTAACAAGTCACACAAAGCAAAGCAAACCCTCCTTCTATAATTCAATCCCTACTGCTAGAGGAGCAGAGAGCTGGAAATGATCCACTGCTTATATACATGGTTATTTTAAGCCTTGAAATAGACTGTAGCTACTTGTAGGTTACCCACAAAAGTCCTTCAAGTTGGCAGACACGTGTACAGTGTACATTGCTAGGGCTGTCTCACTAAATAGTGTCTGAAAATTCATTTACTAAAAAGCAAAGCCTCAAAAACTGACAGAGCTGTTACTGAAGTCTCTAAATATGCTGATGTCAAAAGAGGAGGAGAAAGGGCAAGGCACCACGTGTCAACAGGCTGTGGTTTAGGAACTCAAGACAGACCCAGGACAGATGACACACAAGTAGCTTGGCTAAATTCAGTACTGGTGCTAATAGTTCCCAACATCTTTGCTTAATGCCCTGTCTTCATAACCTGTACCTTCATAAACAGGAACTGCAGAAAAACACCCAGGAAAGGCTGCAGGGAAGTTCAAGTGTCTGTCTTCACAGTGCAACTACAACCCTGCCTGACCCACCTGAGAACACCTTCCAGGTAGAAGTTAACCAAGGGACCATTAAAAATGCTGGAAGAGCTGATGCAGTGGAAGCTGCAAGTTCCTTGTGTTCAGTAAGAGCGAGCTCTAATTGCTCACCTACAACTATCAGATCTGTCCAGACACTGACAAAGGAGATGGTTGGACCAGCCTAACCATCAAGGAGCAATAGTTCAGCAACTTGCTATCTGACAGAGTCCTTAGGATTCATGTTCAAGTGTCATTTACATCCAGTGGGAGGAAAGAGGTGTGTATACCACATGAGACTACCTATGGAAGAGCTCTGCTAATGCTTTTCCCTAATCCTAGTTTGAAATAAAACAGAGCAGGCAACAGATCCATCATGCTGTACTCTTGAACTGCACTATCAGATTGTACTGTAATGATCTACAAGTGCACACTTCAACAACCTCACGTGTCTTGACAAGGGATGAAAGACAGCTTCACCTCTAAGACTTAAAAATTCAGACTGCATTTAAGGTTGAGTTCGGTGGACAAAGCTTCACTTTGAGGGACTGGCATGACTTGGCCAAAAAGCAGAGGCAACACACTTGCCTTGCCTCAGGAGTAAGCTTCCCAAACAGTACCCAGCCAGTTCTCACCCTCCTGACTTTCATGTTCTAAGCCAATCAACAGTTGACCTGTTCTGCCAGTCTGGGATCCTGGTGAGGAGCTGGGCAGAGCACCCCTGCCCTTCACAAGGCTCTCACATTGAGGAAGGCAGACATTTTATTCTTAAAGGAGGTCAGATACACTGACCTTTCTTTCACAGGTAGCCACGTGCTGGGTCATGGGATGGGCTCTTCACTTCAGTGGTGGTATCAGTACCAAGGACAACTTCTGTTGCTCTACAGCTGTTTGAAGTTGGTAACTCAACTCAGCACAGTAAAGCTGGCCCAAGGAAGGACACATGAAGCACAGGATGGGCAGTTCTGTTTCCTCATGGCAGACAGCCATGACCTGTGTAAGCTATGGCTGTAGTACACTATGAGAGTCACACATTTCTGAAGTTGCAACCCACTGAAGATAAAAACCACACTCCCCTACACAACTAAATTTATACTGTATCTATTTGATGTGTACAAGTGTTGTTTACACTCCACTTCTGTTGAAGTGAGAAGATATTTAAGTCCTATCCAATGAATATTACATGAACAGCGACTTAAGCAAAAATCCAAAATGTCTTTTATGACAGATTTTAGCAATATACAGATGCAGTATGAATAACAGGATAACAACATAGTGACAAGATATCCATCAGCTAAGAATATCCTGGCTAACTGATGCCCTAAAATAGTTCTTAAGGAACAGCCACAAGCATGGCCAAATCTTGCTATAGCCTTACTTGGTCACATCTTTCTCTGAAGAAAAAAAGGAAACCTGGGTTTACTAACAAGGAGAATGCACAGTTATCCACAGCTCATCATAACAGGCCAAGGTGTCTGACCTAAGGCAAAGGAAAGGAATTTCCTGATATGATAATGCATCTTTGCTACAATAGTTAATTATTGCTTTATTAAAACAAAACCCCACCTCTCCAACCTACCAAAACTCAGGGACAGGGCAGTCCAGAAGGCTTGTTCCCCTACACTGCCAGACTGAAACCTTGCAGCTTGTTTTGCCCTCCAACTATAAGCTAAAGTGCCTGGAACACAGACCAAGGCTAAAGCAATAAAGTGCAAATTGATGTGGGAAGTATGACAAGAACAGAACTTCACTGACACTGTGATAAAGAATCCCTAAGGATGGATTAATGAGACTAAAATATTAACAGAACAAACAGGAAAAAAAAAATATTTTGACCACAAAGTTTCAGTCTCCAGATTGTCATGGGACAACTTTCCTTCCAGGGGATAAACTAGAGCATTTAATAGCCATCTTGGCACAGACCATAACAGCCACTTGAGGGAAAAGCACAACTGAGCAGGCATCTTTCCTGCAAACAGCTTCAACGCTTCACTTTGCACATTAAATCTAGAAGAGGACGTCTGGCTTTGGAAAAGCAATTCAAGTGAGGAAGAGTCCAACATCTTACTGAAGCCAGCAATCCTGCAGCATTTCCATAGACATGGGAGCAGTTAGCCATGCAAAGATACCATTTTTGTCCACAGGACCAGAGACATCCAGTTCCCCACCAACTGTAAGGCAAGTCATACGTCTGAAAACCGGCTTTGAGAAGCTAAGCTAATTTTGGTATGATTTACCCTGGCACAACGGGAGTAAATCTAAATACATACCTTGCCCCCCAACACATTAATCCCTAACACAGCACGTAGTTCTCTATGAAACAGTCTTAAAACCAAACTGAGCTCACAGAAAGATCCTGCAGATTCTTAATCACTGGTTTCCATCTGGAAGTCAGAGCCAGCTTTAAAAAGTCCTGGGTCAAATAAAAATCTAGTACTAAGAAGGCAATGACATTTAAAGAGAGGCAAAGACGACACAGAAGTGACTGATCTGGTCTTGGTGTGAGAACATGCTTACACAGGAACATTAACTGGTATGAACCAGCCTGCAGCTTTTCTCTACTTGGAGTCCTGGCATAGAGACACCCCAATCCACAGAGCTGAAGCACGGGAGATAAGTATTTTTAAACCGATTCTCTCGTGGAAGTGCACTCCTAGGAACCAAAAGGCTTCCCTTGAGATGGTGTGAGGCTGGAATTCCACTTGCAGTCAAGCATCTGTTTTTCCAAACCACATTTTAGTGGCTTCCAGACTAAACCACTCACTGGCTTGTGGCTTGGTACAGGGTTTTTCCAGCACCAGGACAGCGGAGAACAGAGTTATAGTGACTCTGTTATCTATATCTGAAAAAAAAAGGTACAGATCAAGTGCAGATCAAGTTTTCCACCAGCAGGTGAAGAGACTTTGATATTTGAAACTTCTGCTATATTAAAGCACGCAGTCTTTAGCTCAATAACCCTGTAACAAGCCAGCAAACTCACTCTTCAAGCAGAGCAGTAAACTACAAATCCAAGTGACTGTATAGGCAAAGATGCTCTGAACAGATATCCACCTCTGCTTTTACTCCACTCTGGAAGAAAACACTGTGATCAAACCCCAGCCATAGGATATCAAGGAGAATGGAAACCTGAAGCAGCAGGTGAGGGAACAAGATGTTCCCAAAGAGGGAGATACATAGAAGTGATCCAGAGTCTTTGGGTCAACTACTCCTGGCCAGATACAGCCTGCTCTGTGTCTGAGCAGTGAGACTTTGTCTTCTCCCACTGGCAGATGGCATTGGCATACTGTACCACAAGCTTATCCATCCAGGTGAGAGGTTCTGGGAATAGTACAGACCCCTCAAAAAATCCCAGGTGGCCTCCATGAAGGGGCAGCACATGCATGACATTTTCTCTTTTCTCTGTAAAAGAACAGAAGGCAGAAAGTTCCAGGTGGTTAACATCTTGGAGCTGAGAATGAAACCATCTGAAGATGTCATAATCAACCCTTGGCATAGCATCTGAATCAAAGGAGCAATCCTGTGTAGGAAGCAGAAAGGCACTGACTGCCTCAGCTACTTTGGATTTCAAAGCACATAACTTTACTGCTTCCCAGAACAGGGCAGTCTGCAGGAGCCAAGCCCAGCCAGGACAAGAAGGCTGTCCAGGAAATGCTGCTGGCTGGGCCCTTACAGCAATACCTGGATGGCCATAAGAATGCTCATTCTTTAAGGAATGAACATCTTTAACACGCACTGGGAACCAAGACTCTCAGCATCACACTGAGCTCTGACAGTACATCAGCCACCTTGGTCCATGTATAGTGAGAAAATCCCTGTGCTTGCTTCAGCTTTAACACACACTGGGAACTAAGACCCTCAGCATCACACTGAGCTACACGGAGCTCTGACAGTACATCAGCCACCTTGGTCCATGTATAGTGAGAAAATCCCTGTGCTTGCTTCAGTCTGGAAGCAGCTGTGGATAAATTCCCTGCTCACAGCTTTCAACCAGGAAAAGAACAAACCCTGCTTCCCTCCTTGTACACCCACTATTTCTGTGACAAAGCAGCAGCCAGCTCCCTCTTCTGACTTCTAAAGGTAATTTGTCTTTTTTTTTCCTTGGCTGAAGATAGATGGCTCACAGAACTCCTTTCAAAGGAGGGATCCTAGTTCAGTACTAAATAACACAGCATGCACCTCCCCTGCATTAAAGGGGGCTCATCATCTGTACTTGATCAAGACATCACTGTAAGAACTCACCTTCCTACTAAATCCCAGTGAGGAATGAAGACAAGGAGGCATTTTCCCATTCAGGAATGTAACCTGAACATAACCTGCTGGCTATCAACAGAAGCCAGAACAGCATTAGGTGCCTGAAAGGACTCCAATTCTCCATGCTCAAGGTTAGCCTCATTAATTCTAGCAACTGGTGATTTAGAGGCTTAGTACACCTCCCACAGGATTGCAAGTGTAAGGAGGCAAGCCCAGTTGCTTTGAAATCATGGATCATGATGTTAAGAAGGAACCTGCAGGTACATAAATACAGACATCTGGGGGAGACTGCTTTGATATACCTGAAAGGGCTCTTGGAATTGACAGAAGACTCTCATGCACCAGAGGGTCATCAGCAGCATTAACCAACAGAAGAGGAACATAGATCTGCATCAAGAAACACAGCAGAAAAGGAAAAAACAGTAAGCAGTTGGTATTTAAATTTCAGTATACCAACTGTAAAAGCATCTTAACTCAGTTAAAGATACCTTATTTCAGGATTGCCCTCTACTTGCAGAAGTATCAGAAAAACAAAGCAGAAGTTTAAGACTGGTGGCTTTTCAATGGAGTACTTTGCAACACAATTTTTTTTTCAACTCAATTATGTGAAAGAGGCAGGGGTGCATCAGAGCAAATACAGATTGAGTCACAGATTTCCACATTCTCAGAGTTCAAATAGCTACACCCCTTTTTTGTTTGCTCAGTATTGCTCTGCACATCAGGCAGCTAGTGCCAGCTCTGTTATGGACACCTTGGTTAAAGTCCAGGACACTCCCCTGGAACATCTCCATCAGTAGATGAAGAAGGAATTAATCTTCCAGTTCCACTTCTGCAAAACTTCAGTCTGCTAAGCACCTGCCTGCCACACAGCATCCCAAGTCTCTTCCACAGTATCTAGTAAGTCTTTCTTCCTTGAAACTGCAGGCTTTGTATCATCACCCATTTCCCATCTTTTCCTCATACACTCAGAGCAGCTCAGCTAAATGCATGGCTTTATCTAGATCACTTGGGTGCTACAACCTGTCAGTTGGGAATTCTAAAGAGCCCAGAGCATTTAGCCCCAGTATCAAGGGCAACAAGAACCACTCCAATTTACTGTGCATGATTATTTCTGAAAATCCCAGCTAACACAGCCGTGTCTAGGTATCAACAACAGACACCACAGTGCCTCTTCTCTTCACAGAGCAGTTTCTACTGCAAGAAATTACCCTGTGCAAGTAATGCAGGCAGCTTTCTTCTTCATAGTATTCCTTCAGGGAACTGTAGCCATGGAACTTCCTGAAATATAGAAGACTGTCATTGCAATCATCTGCTTTAGTATCCATGGGACTCTTACTTTCAAGTGAGGATATATATGCAGATATAGGAGCAATACCTCAATTTTCATGGACAAACCTTTTCTTTTTCCCCACCCAGTGTCTCTGCCAAACCCACCTTTGGCAGCCCAAGCCTTCATGCTTTCTGTGCTTCCTCAAACGTTGTGTTAGCATGGGCAAGTTAAGCATGCAAGCTGAAGTCTAGCAGCCTTCAAGGCATTTCTTTTAAAGCATCTCACTTCACTTTAGCAGTAGTACACATGAAAGAGAGTCTTGTTCATCTTTACCTGAAAGCCTTTTCAAATACAAACCCACCAGTTTACAAACCTCAAAGATCTGGACAAAAGGACCTGCCTATAGATCACCTCTCTCTCTCTCTCTATATATATATGCACACAGATAGAGTTCAGTGGGGTTCCAGTTCTTTGCCAAAAACTTAGTACTCTGTCCCAAACCAAGAATGCAGCAAACCTATATTCAAGAGGTTTTTTTTTAATATATTTTTTTTTAACATAAGGGAGAACATAACTATTGGCCCAGACTGGAAAAGCCTCAGGGATGAGGTACAAGCAGGAAGATTTCTCTAGGAATGACTTCCAGAAAGCAGCCAACAATACTCCCTTATCTTCCAAAAGTGTTATAGGTGTATAGCTGACAGTTTCCAGCTTCATTTTGGAACAGTGTTGATGTCTGATACAGAACATGCCATGGTATGAACACTGCCACCCAAAGGGCTATGTTGTGTTCAAGGACACAGGCAGTAACAGATTCCTGCTTAATAAAACAGGGCTTAAGTTCAGTGTTACCTTGACAAGTGAAAAAGATTCTATTATCTCAGCCAACTCTAATGTTTGAGAGGGCAGTAGTGGGTTTTGGGAAGGTTTTTTCCCCAAAATTGAAGCAGGGCTAAGGATATCCCAGAGCAGTTCTGAGCTGCTTTCTACATTCTGCACTGTTTTTGACTACAGCTTCCAGGCAGAGGTGGTTTCTTCCTATGCTGAAGTCTGCAGGTTCAGTTGTTACTGATGATTACTGATTAAATGCCTCCTGGATAATTTTACAGGAACTCTGACTGTCAAGAGTGAATTTTTTTCCCTATTAAGTTTTATTCAATGTTAAGGCAAGGAAGAATTTGGGGTTGTCAGCACTGTATTTCGGCACATTCCTACAGACACAGTATGGGGCATGCAAGAGCAACATTTGAAAGAGAAGGTTCTTTCAGAGTTCTACAAAGGATCAGAGAATCACCCTTCATACCTCATAACATTATCATCAATCTGCATAAGGGATGTTGCTGTATAGAGCTTGCTCAGATCAGCATCTGACAGGCTTTGGGGCTTCTTCACATTATCTCCAAAGAGAACTTGCCTGAAAGAGTAACATCAAGGAAAAAAAGTCCAAATAATGTAACAAGTGCAGCAAAGTCATAACCTGTTCAAGGACAACTGAGTCTACCAAGTCTGCCAAGATAAGACCAGAAGTGGGCTATAGATACACGAGGCTTTCCTGGCAACAAGAACAGCTTATTTGTCCACTTCCCTCTGCAACAAGGCATAACAGAAGCCCTAGCAGCCACTGCACAGAAAAAGTTTTCTTGTTGTACTGAAAAACTGCATGAAGGGCCTCTAAATTAAAGAATCTTCCCAGAACAGACACACTAAAGGTATTTGGAACAGAGGGAGGGTCCTTTGGCTTCAGACCAAACCCGTGGGTGGCCTGGGTGAGAGCACTAGCAGTCCTGGGCACAGCATCTCCTTCACCATCTGCTCCTGAAGTCTCCCCAGCACACAGATTAGCTCATACAGCAGAAATTACTTGGGGCATTACCTTAGCAGAAAGCTATTTACTATGGACACTTGTCATAATTAGCTATTGCCCTCAGGAGAGGATGTGTTTCTTTAGCAGAACAAACTGCTCCCCTAACAAATACAACAAAAGCCACAAGTTGGAAAGGGGTTTTTATTCCCTTTCAGAGACAGCTGCAGGGCAGAGTAGGAGGGAGACTATGTTTGATTTGGGGAGTTTCCTCAGAGTACAAATGATTATGGAAAAAAGTTTACTCAGACTTGCCTTTAAGCCAGCACTGGCTTTTTCTGGGTTATGAATTTAAGCCCCTTTTAACAGGGGCTTGCATAACTTCTTATGTGAAATTTGGTCAAGTTGTCTAAATATTTGTCAATCTGGAATGAATTACATGGCTCATACTACACATCAGCTGCCATAATTCATTCTACAAGTGTTTGATACCACACAGAAGTGCAAATCAACTAAAAGTTTGCAAGTGACACATACTCTTAATTGGAATGGGTCTTTGATATTCCCCTTTTTCCCATGAGTCAGGCAACTTCAAATATACACAGAGAAGGTACTTAAAATATTTATTTCCCTAGAAAAAAGTACCCAGATTTTTGAGGGAGGAAACAACATTGAGCACATCACCTGCTTAACACACACACGTTCCTCTTACATGAGAGACATAGGTCACAACAGCAGCACAGGGATCCTACAAGTACACTTGCATTCTAGAAAGAGCAACACTAAATATTTTGCTGGCTACATATGCTAGTTTCTAGAGGAACAACTAGAAGCCAGAGCTACAGTTTAACTAGTTGCTTATTTATGTTCATACAGCAGATTTTGAAGATCAGTCCTACCTCAGGTAGGTGGCAGAACAAGAGGTTCCTTGAATAGAGAATTCTTTGGCTAGAAGTGAAACAGATGCAGAACACTCCACTTTGAAGTCTAATTGCAGTGTTTTCCTTTGTGCATCTTGTTTATTCATGAAACAAGTTTCCCCAGAGGCAAAAAGACAACAAAGCTTGCTTGCTTCTAACAAGATCACCAAAGCTTATTTGTATATTTTACAGTGTATAAATGAGATTGACATGGGCTCCCCTTCTCTGTTGGTTTATCTAAAGACCACCAAGCAAGGAACTGGTGCATAATGTTTCAGGAGTCCTCTTTTAAAGGACTGAGAAGACAAATCCCATATAGCAATTGTCCCAGTCTGTGCTGTCAGTGTAAGTCATGCACTGCAGTACCTGTGAGAAAGGATGATCTTCTTCATGTTGTCTGCCATGAGGAAGTTATAAAATCTTCTGCACTGATCCCACTGCATGAAGGTTTCCTGTGCCCTAGAAAAAACAAACAACAGTGCAAAACAATCAAAGCTGTTAACGGAGATCTTGAAAGATGGGATTAATCCCCTCTAACATCTTCTGGCAGCCTAGAGGCTATGTAAACAAATCTCCAGGCCTTCCCTGTCACGGTTTAACCTTTCCCAGGAAATTACTTCCACTTTGATGAAGTTCTGGAGTATCAGAAAACAGATATGCAGTCTCATTTTGCACAAGGCAATTAGCTGTTTTGATCAGAGCATTTAAGAGCCGTCAGTCAAGATCTGTAACACTGACAAGAAGATTTAAGTATCCCTTTGCATAAGTTGAATGTAATTTCCCTAATAGGACTACCAAGGAAAGGGCTAAAACCTGTTGCTGAACAAAGTGTTGTCTACTGCATATATAGCTCTGCAGAGGGAACAATTTGTGCAGATGTTTCCAATATATACAGATGCTGTTATTGTTTTAGCTTCATTGGCAGGAATTGTAGGAATAAACATTAGTTGCAGCTGCAAGTGGCATCTGAGTTGAAGTCTTTTACCTACTCTCAGACAGAATAGCACTCCACAGCTTATCTGTTGTTTAAAACAGAATTAAAGTCATCCAGAATTCTGTGAGCTCTGCCAGATACCAGCACTCCTTTGCTATGCAGGGTCATGGGCAGGTTATAGCTTCACTCTGTAGCAGGGCTTGCTGTTACTGAGGAAACCACACTATAATTTACTGAGCAGCCTAAGAATGCTGGAAGGAGTTTCAGCTACTGAAGTACTCCTACCATTTAAATATTAACACACTGTAAGAACTGCAGCACATTTAGCATGACCTCCCAAGTCACAACCTGCAAGTCCCCTAACAGAGCAAGAGCCAGTTCTGTTTTCTTGTCTTTTTTCTGGTTTTGTCTTCCCTATAATGGAGAATGGAATTTTTCTTCTTTTTATAAGAGCTTCCCTACCTTTTTGCCTAGTCAGACTATACCTACTGCATTTATGCCAGGGCAGGGGAATGAAGGAAGACAAAGAGATACACATTTCTTTCTTCACAAAAGAGTTTCCAAGCAAATTTAAGTTATTACAAGGCATTTGAAGTTAAAGCTACTACACTTCCCTGCAGTTCCTGTGGTGTGCAGTAGTACACCTAATATGAAGAGCTGCAAGCATGAAAAAAAGGCAGCTTCTGGTATTTTAAGAGGACTGCACAGGTTTCAAAGCTGAGGAGTCTCCCTACAGCCTGTAGCTATGGTAGAAATGCATTCCACAAGATCAAGAAGCAGAATCAAGCCTGTGCAGGCAGAGATTAAGGCACAAGACGACTTGTCCCTGTTTAGCCTCAGGGAACAAATTCCTCAGATTCTAAATTAATTCCTTAAACTAAGAGCCTCCTTTTCTTCTGGCAGATCCTAGTATTGCTGCTACTTTGGTATGCTCATCTATGAGACTCATGCTTAATGCTCTGGAAAGGATTTCACATTTCAGATCCCTGGTTCACCTTGCTCATCACATTTTTCCTTCACTTCCCAAAGTTATTCAGAGGATAAAGACTGCACAAGAAAATGGAAACTAAGCAGTCACATCTACCTGGGTCATCTACTTTCATGTAGCCCAGAGGGAAGAGGCCAGTTACTTTAACCTATTAGACCAAGCCCAGGAAGGTGGAGGCTTAACCATTCCACCTGGAAGTGCTTTGTACCTCCTCTCTCACCTCTATAACCAGGGGCACCCCCTGCTTTTTGCTTAGCAGCTGTTTACTGATGTTGCTTTCCCCTATTTCTTCAGCTGATCAGCACTTAAAAGCTGAAGTAGATATTAGGTAGGGATACACAATATTTGAAGTCTGCCTTTTGATTGCCCAGTAACACAGAGCAGATGTTTTGTGCCTGGAGATTCGCTATTAGGCATTTACCCAGCAGGTGGAGTCAGGAGCTCAGTAATCTGCACAGCCCGTTGAGACTTGCATTAAACTTCTCGACAAGCAGCTGTTATTTTTCCACACAAACATCCAAGTGCAGTACTGTTAAACGGGTTGCCCTTGTCCTGTAATTCTACCAGGACATCATGACATATTACTACAGAAATCGGCTTAGGGAACAGTGTGACTTGCAACATCCTTTTGGAGACCAGAAATACCATCTTGCATAACTGCAGACGGTGAACCAAGTGAACTGTAGCCAGATGTGATCTTTGCAAACCTTGTCTGATGGCTGCAGTTGAGGAGCTGGCTTCAAAAGGATGCTCTGTGCTCTATGACAGAACCCCAAGACAACCAAGTACATTTTATTTAAAGCAAAGTAGAGAAACTGTTCCTGAATGCATCTCTTCAGATTCTAAGGGTGTGAACTCATGAGGACCTAGCAGTAGGTGATAGACTTTTAGCAATAGTCACATCTGATTTCAAAAGGGATTAGGTATGCTGGAATATTACTGAAGTGCATATTAACCTTTTAGTGCCATCTTTATGCTTCCAGAATAAGCTTATTTCTTTCACCTTTAAGAGTTTAACTCATAAAAAGTGTCTTCAGACTGCTGAATATCAAACCAGTCCCTGTACAGGGAAAGAACCAGCAGTATCAAGGGAGTTCCAGCTACCTAAACCAGGCTGGAAGGCCAAATTCCAAAGCAAGCCCCTGAGACAGCTGCTATAGTTTCACCGTTTTTATCTGCCCAAAGGATCTTGACAAAACCCTAGTCTCAACAGCCCCTTTTGCCTTTCAGATAGTCTCACTCAGGGCTGAAAAGTGCAAATAAATTACTGTAAAGTCAGCTACAACTTAGTGGCTGTCCATTTGTACAGACAGCAAAACCTGAAACAGTAGCTCAGAGAGTCACACTGGTTGACCCTTCATTGACTGTGTGTCCATGGACAGTTACTGCACATGGTTGAGCCACCAGTTCAGCAGCAGCAGTGCTGTGGCCAGATCCTCCACCAGTAAGTGGAAGTGTTAGCACTAGGTGGAGCCGTTACAGCTCTTCTGAGGTGCTGCAGCTTTGGCTCCCAGGGAGGGAACCCCGGGTTGACATTGAACGCAGGGTTAGAAGCCTTCTCCTCCCCCCACCTTCCAAACTGTATAGAATGGCTCCAAGTGCCTCTTCATCTCCACAGCACCGTTTCAGTGACACACTAAGAGGGGAACATGGACTGACAGTGTAGGAGCTGTGTCTCTTTCCAGTTGCCCCAGGTAAGAGCTCTCAGATGAGCAGGCATGCTGAAACCACAAGCTGTTATGAACACTTCTCAGAGTGATGAGAAACTGAACTATGGCTTGCAAAACTGGCATCACCTCAGCAGTTTGCCATGCTGCTCAGTCAGCCTGGTTAATTCCACCAGGACTGCACAGGGAGTGTCTCCTTTTAGGAGGCTACAGCAACTCTCCCATGACACCAAGCCAGGCCAGCACACGGGCACAGATCAGAGCTTGCCAACACACCCCTGGCCAGGTACAGAAACCTATTTGTGTTGTTGACAGACAGCTTATTTGTCCTGCCAAATGAACAAAGCTTTGCCTGCTCCTTCAGGAGGGTGGCATCCTGTGTGTTGCCAACTGTCAGACCAGTTCAAGAGAAAATGCTTTTCACCTTACCCTTCCACGTGCACCCTGCTAAAGATCTGCCCACTCCTGCACCCCCAGAAGAGACCAGCATGCAGAAGTCCCTAGACCTACCTCAGGGCACTGTACCCCTGGCACACACTGACGCAGCACAGGACCCGCTCCTGGTTGGCCTGGCTCTCTCCCAGGTATTTGCACACAATGTTTCCACCCAGACTGAAGCCCACAACCACCAACTGGGTCTGAGGGTAGGTCTTCTTGATGTAATTAACCATGGCACCAAATTCCCAGGTGCAACCTAAAAATAAGGAAAAAAAAAATTAAGAATCATCTAACAGATTCCCACTTCAAGCTTTATTTGTGTGCTTTAAGTTCAGCTGCTTACCCTTTCTGACTTTTCAAAAGCCACAAGGTTTTAAGAGCTCTGATTCACACACATGTTCGTGTATCTGTTTTATGAGCCCTGTGGACCTTAGCTCATGCTTAGTTCTGACAGAGTGCCAAAGTAAGATGAAATGAACTTGTTTAAAAATCATGGCAACAGCTACTCTGAGAATTGAAACTCTTCCTTTAAAAAGCAGAGGCCAAAAACCTCTGGACTTGACCTTGCTGTCTAAGAACAGTGCATGCCATTACTTTCCTGAGGTGGCTTGCCACTTCTGAACTTGTTGGGGTGTCTGGAAAGCAGCTTGCTCCCTTGCTTTTAGCAAGGCTGCCATGGATCCTTAAATTCATGCTGATGCAGGGAGGGGATGGAAATGCAGAGCTCTCAGTGGACTGTTGCAGAGCCTGACTAAGCAGGTGCTCTCTGGAATCAGAGGGAAGGGTTTAAGCAGAGGCAGCTAGCTCTTTTTAACCACTGAAGAGGTAAACTTACTGCAGTTTTCCAGAAGGCACGTGGGTAACCCCTCTTCAAGATGTGTAAGTGCCTCTACAGATCTGCTCTCAGCTAACACCCACTGACATCCCACAAGCTGCAGGCATCAAGGGATCCAGCTTTGGGCAGCACTGAGGTCCTCAGGTTGTCTGACAGAGTTTGAAGGCCTCCACACATGGAACACCCAAGTACCTACAGCTATTTCTACTGCCTTCAAGTTTGGGAAATGGAAACCTGAAAAGCAGCAGCCACAAAACTAAAGGCATTAGTACACTGCTGTCAACTGCCTATCCCTTTAACCATGCTGTTGGATTTGAGACTGCAAACCACACAGAAGACATCTACAAACAGAAACAGAACTCCAGCCGTTTATTCCCGTCTAGAGTCAAAAATCAGCTCTATCCTGTGGAACTTGTCCAGGGAGATAAACCCTAAGACTTGGGATTCCACTCTGTGCCAACCTAAGGCAGCTCCCAGCATGTCCCTACCCCAACTGCAGCATCCTCAGATGCAGGTTTTAGGTAGCTGGAGTAGACTCAGCAGCAGGGTGTTCACTTCAGTGAAGCAGCAAGCTTCTGGATGATGATTTTAGCAAGGCCTGGGTACTTCCTTATGAACATTCTTAATGAGCAATTTTCCCCAAGATGACAAATGCTATGTGGCTCTAGTTTCCTCTAGAAGAAGCCAGCAGTCAAAATACTTTACTGTTTGACCTTCGTGATTTGAGGGCAGCTGGCAACTATTTTGGAAATCCAAAACTAGAATAGCAACAGGTCAAGCTTGATGTAAAGGCTGGAGGATTCAGCAAATCCTGAGTTTAGGCTACTTGCTCCTCAACACATGTCAGGAGTCCAGCAAAAGCTAGTCAGACATTGGGATATTTGGGTTGGAGTCCTGGTCTTGCTGGGCCTCCACTTAACAAGCAAGTCTGCCAAGTGATTTACTGCCTGACTCAAAGGAAGTGCTAGGCATTCCTCACCCTTTCCAAGGCTATAAAAGACTCAGAAAGGTAGGTCTCAAGAGATACACTACAGAATAACTCCCTAAGGTCTAAAGCAAAGCTCCATAGAAGATCTGAACTTTTATCACAAAAGCTCTAAAGGAGACCAAGCTTAGTCCCCAAGACTAGGGCCTCAAATTGAGGTAGTTGGTACTCCTGAACTGTTTTCCACTGAGGAGTGAAACTAATAACTAATAGAAGCAACAAAGCATTATGGCCTATTTGCCTGCCAGACCCATAGAAGAAAGATCTGAACTTTTATCACAAAAGCAAATGCTCTAAAGGAGACCAAGCTTAGTCCCCAAGACTAGGGCCTCAAATTGAGGTAGTTGGTACTCCTGAACTGTTTTCCACTGAGGAGTGAAACTAATAACTAATAGAAGCAACAAAGCATTATGGCCTATTTGCCTGCCAGACCCACAATCTCAAAGCACAACTGATCAAGATAAACATTCAAACTGTTAATCCAAACTCTTACCAGCAAGTACCTTAGTTATCTTTTAAAAGGTGAAAGAAACTTAACACCAGCCTGCTGAAGCAGTTGACTCCTGGCATACTGTATCTGTTGATGTTTGCAGCAGTGAGGCAGATGAGGGCTCAAGAGAGCTCAGGAAGAAGCAGATCAGGTCACAGGCAAGAGGGCCACATTCTACCAAGGTCACATCACTCACCAGCAGGGCTGTTAATAGCTGGGAGTCACCCTTCAGTTTCAAATCCTTTATTCCTTTACATTCTTTTATTAAGAAAGACTTCCTTGTACTCAGCGAGAGCCCAAAATCATGGCAATTAAGCACTACCACTTCTGTAGCTTTACTGTCATACCACAGAATGGTTGCTGTTCATTACATTTGTGTTACATCCAGGGACCAATCCTCATGTCTCTCTCCTAGGAAATGTGCTTCCTGGGTAGGCTGGTACAAAATTCTCCCATTTTACAAAGCCTCAGAAGTCGTGTTTATCCTTCAGAGCCAGGTAAGTTTAGTGGAATGTGAAACAAACATTTCAACATCCCAAATCATTTGAGCAGGCTTTTTACTGCCACAAGAGTTTCTCAAAAAAAAGGTTTTCTTTCCAAATAGCTACCTCCTTGATTAAGATAAGCAACTAGGGGAAGAGACAAGGAAAAGTGAATCTCAGTATTTGCCTTCTCTTTTCCTCACATTCAGGTCCACCCCAGTTCCTAAGTGTCATGGTTACAGGGGCTGGGACCAGTGTATCCTTCTGTGGGTAGAACCAAAACTGTGTATTCTATACTCTCTATGTCAGTGCTCATGGGCTGTTAAGAGAATCATGGGTAGCAGCTGCCCAGGACAGACCTCACACCCCAGGCTATAACAGATAAGGAAAGAGGTTCAAGGTCAGGGGAGATGTTAACACCTTCCCACCCAGCAGGAGGAGTCCTCCCTGTCCATGGGCCCATCCATGCCTCGCCCCATGACTCATACAGAGCGCCCCCCAGGAGCTATTTCTGTTTAATGGACCATCAAGGACCCACTGCATGACTCATAGACTGATATCAACCCATTGTGAGATGCTCTGCCCAGGGGGAGGAGCCAAGTGCTCCCACCTGGATATAAACTGGGGTTCAGTACAGCACAGGGGGCCTTACCCACTGGATTTCCAGATGACAAGAGCTACCAGATCTTTTCTACGAGACCACTGTTTCATCTGGACTGCTACCACCACCCTAACTACAGAGTATCAGGTTGTATTCTGACTCTGTCTGTGGTTTTCCTTTGTATTATTGCTTTTATTTTTTTTTCTCATTAAATTGTATTTCTGACTTGGAGTCTCTCGCTGGTTTGTTTTCAAACCATTACACTAAGAAATGGCACAAAATTATGATCCTCATTCAGACACAGCAGCTGTGTTATGATGAAGGTGAATCGAGCCCCAGAAATTCCACAAGCTTGAAAACGAGTCCCCAGCTGCCATCAAGGACCTACCATACGTGAACATTCGTGGAGAAGTGAGCTCAATGTTTGGTAAAGCTCCCAGGTGATTCAGGACAGCACATCTGTAGCCATTTTTCTGTGCATAGTCCACGAAGGTGCGGATGTACTGCTTCTCACTGTGGTTAGCAATCCCTGGGCAGATCACCATCGTGACGTCCTCTGCGCACAGAAAGAGAGGCAAGCTAAGTAAATGTCACTTCATGCAAATCAAGAGATTCAGAAGGTTGCCATTTCAGATCCGTGGGAAAGCATCCACCAGAAGCAAGTTAAAAATACTGCTAGTCTGCCAAAAATCCAGTATGGGACAGGAGACTAGGAGCTCTGTAGCTCTAGCTACAGATGTGAACGGGTAATTCATGTTACAGGAGATGAGGAGTGTTCTAACTTCAGGGAAAGATGTCCAAGCACTGCCTAGAGACCAAGAGTAAATTCTCTTTGAAGGATGTTTTTGACGTTATGCATGTTCTGCCTTCTGCAGCCTGTTGTGACTGCTAAGTGTGTGGAAGGTCTGGAGCCCTCTGCTCCTTCATGCACCAAGTAGCCTGGCTATGCTGTTGCCCCTTGTTACCCTTCCAGAGTTGTGTGTAACATCTTCCAACTGAGGCTTTGCTAAGCACGGACTTTCTGATCAGCTGACATTAGCCATCATCTGCTTTGTGGCTAATCTAATGATATTTGATCTGCTGACACTGTTCACTAGTTGAGCAAGGCATCGTTTCATCAACCAAGAAAGTAATTGTTGCAATTCAAATAAGCCTAGTAAATTACACTGATGATTAGCATATGCGCTTCAAATTAATTCAGATTCTTCTGTGCAAAGCTCCAACATTAGCCACACAATTTTTGCCTCATTAGGAAAGCACTGCTCAGATTCTTTTCAGTGATAAAGATAACAGCAGTTGTTCTAGTGCAGCAGTATACCATGAGGATCTCAACACAGAATTAAGAAAAGACCTCTGCTTTTTCTGAAGACCAAATGGGAGCCATGGGCTTACAAGAAAATCAGCTGCTGTGGGGGTAAATTGTACTTCTGAAGTCAAGCCACAGTAACTCAGTTTTAAGTGTTGCTGTTAACCAGTACTGAGTTTGAAGCTGACACTCACGCTGAATATACACACAATATTGTAAGGATTCCCCATGATTTTCCACTTCTTTATGGAGTTCTCATGTCTAGACTCCTTCACAACTCATGCACACAGTTTGTTTCCACACAGATCTTGAAATCCCTCCTGTTAGTACAGACTCCCAAGAATCTAAGTGGGGAAAAAAGTCTACTTCCTTCTCCATAGACTCCATGCAAGGAAAAGCCCCATGCAGCTAGCCTCTGTTCTGTGATCCCACAGCCTTCACAAGCAAAGGGCACTCCAGCCAAGGCTTACCACCAGATGCCCTTTACCAGCCTTTTACTTGAGGCATGGGTGACAGAACATTCCTTCTGTTCCTTAACCCCTGCCACAAATAGTTAGTTAGTCTAGTAGGGTCTCTCCTGCTGTCTGAGATATATAGCACAATGGCCTCAGACTCCACACACTGGTCAGGACCCTTTCCATCACCAGAACAAACACCTATCCTTTCTGATAAATCAAGTGGCAGTGTCCTTGTCCATGTCCTAGAGCACAGAATGTTAGCAGAGGTGCAGGCAGCAGCTGTCTGACTGACCTCCAATGCAGTGCTCAGCCTGTGGCTCAAAGAGATCAAAGGTGGCTGTGGCTCCGTCAGGCATCGTGAGGTACTTGCGGTGTCCGTAGGGATGTGGCGATCTCACTCTCCCCATTTTTCCATAGAGGGCAGTCTGGATATGTCCACTCTTCCCCCAAATCAGGGGTGGGATGTACCTGAAAGAGGCAGTCATTTAATTGCTTATCTGTGCTGCTTTAACCAGCCTTTGAGAACGGACAAGTACTCCCGTAACAAATTCCCCCCTCACGATCAAATGTAACAACAAATAGGAAATTATTCTTGGTGTGCCTGCACTGGCAACACTGATCTTTGCAGCCTTACACAACAGATGTGCTCTCAAAGATGAGATCAGCACTGGCAGCAGCAGCAGCACAAACCCCACTCCTCTGCACTGAAATGTTACATGCTAACACTCCTCAAAGAACAGAGGCCTTGAGCCTGAGCAAGACTGGGACAGCATGTTGCTAGCCAACCAAACTGACCTCCAGAACGTGCACAGAGTTGTAAATCTGTTTTAATTGGAATGCTGAAGCCTGCTGGGCTGAGCCACACGAACTTGTGTAAGCACTTGATCATATAAGCTAGTGGCAGAAATGGCAGGATTCAGAGCAAGTTCTAGGACACCAAAAGCCCCAAGACTTGCTGGTTGGAACAATTTTACACAGGACTGCTTTTCTTTGATAGAGAAGCACACTACAGGGTTATTTTGCCTCTCAGAGTAAAAGCTGAGACAGTTTTAAAAAGGACCCATCAGATCTGGCCAAACTTCACTAAATAATAAATCCCTTTCAACATAATAGGGTAGAGACTACCAGTTATGTTTGTTTATCAAGGGCATGTTAAATGTAGATGATAAAGCAAATTGTCTTTTCCTGGCTTATTTGCCCTCAAAAAAAATATGGGGGAAACAGAGCCATTAGCTGGAAGGTATTAAAGGCTTAGTTATCAGGATTTTTTTAGTGCAAGGAGAGTTTAATGAGAAGCACACCACTGCCCACATGGTGGTGGCAAGGCAGTGACCTGGTCACTGCAAGAGGGATAGATGGAGCTGATGCCTTGGAAAAGATAATTCCATCAGCTCTCAACAGGAAAGCACAAATAACTGATTGTTTAGGAGAACAGCAGTCCCAGGGCACATTCTTCCAATTAATGAGCTGTGCTCTCTGCTACGCAGAGCAGGGTATCAAGAAGCAGCTTGAAAGCTGCTGACACCACCTTGGATTCTGACAGATTAGCAACTCCCTCCCTTTTGTGGTTTTTTTTTTAGGGCTTCCTGCAGTTATTCAACTTCTTGAGACCACATGAAGTAGGTATCATGTTCTTTCCTGTTCAGAGAAAGCTAGGCAGGCTCAGGACTATGATTTACTACTTAAGCCCATAATTCATTTGAATGTGACAGCTCTGTTAGAGCCACAGCTCCCTGTTCCCCTGGCATATTAAAAAAAAAAAGACTTCCTATAAAAGTAACTATCTAGGCATGTTCAGCAAGACAAGAGCAGTAGAATCTACTTTCCCTGTTCTCTTGCCTCCTTTGAGGGAGATTTCTTACAGTCAAACCAACATGGAAGTTCATGGTATGGTTTCACTCAGTTTTCACAAGTGCACTTCCCAAACAGACCTGAAATAGATTCCCCTGGAAGTAGAGGCCACTTAAAGGCTTCAGAAGCTGCCAACTGATGCTTTCAACCTTGTAAACTCACCCTCAGATGCATCTTACTGCTGGAGTTTAAATGAAGCCAACAAATGGCTTCAAAAATCTGCCTTTGAATAACTCAACTGGAAGTTACCTGTAATACTGATCTTCAGTAAGTCAAATCTTCATGCCACTTTTATGTAGACAAAATCCATGTGTAGTTCCACTGATACATTTATTAAAGGAGAGACTAAACCCAAGGCAGGAATCCCTGTGACTCCACCCATAATGATGGACAAAATACCTATGGGTTCCAGGTTTCCCCTCACAGCTAAACCTGTGTGAAGCCCTGGGTACAAGGGTCCATTCACTGCTCGTTCCCTTCAGAGGGCACAAGCTGGTGTTTGAGCATCCTATGGACCAAGGAAGTAAAACACTCATCACTCAGCTTATCTTGTGTTAACTCAGTGAGTTGTTTCAGTATCACACTACCTGCAGCAAAGATGTACTAGTGTTAGTCACTCTGCATGTAGCTACACTCTTCTAGACAAATATGCAAAGGTCAAGCTCCAGCATGAGTAATGTGCATAGGACAGTACTGATGCAGAGATTTGTTTACTCCCACTTAGTCATATTTTTGTTAAGCATATTTCTGCAGTTTGTGCTTAAAAATAAGGCAGCTAGAGCTCTGAAAGACATGCAAGTGTTGGAGCAGCAGCTTGTTATCTCACCTATCTTTTACTACTGCTCATCAGCCTTTAAGCAGTAGGCTTGTGGTGAGAGAGAGATCCTAAAATCCCTTAAGCATCCACGCTCCAGGAAACTGAATATCACAAGACTTCAACAAGGAGGGGGAAGGATTACTCAGATTGTATAGATCTTGCATAATCAGTGAAAAACTAAAATTAAAACTCCCTTTATGGACTAATGCAAAAGCAAGCAGCTATTTAAAAAATACTAGACTTTCATTTACCAAATCAAGTTGCTCATCTAAGCTCCTGTAAAACCCTATAAAGTCCTGGCAGCAGCAGAGTGGTGCCTCTCCATCACTGCATTCCACTGAAGCTGTCAGCCAGGTTTGGCTTTGCAAAGCATCTGTAGAACATGTAGCATAATCAGGCATGTGATCTGTCAGACTCTCTTGATCCTCCATTTGGCAATGGCCAAATCTGGTTTTGAAGGTCTTCCTATAAGCAACATCTACATCTTCCAGTGAGACAAGAGTCTACAAGAACTTTCAAGACCAAGAACTGAGCCTAACAGTGTATGAGACTGTACCAGACTGAAAGACATCTTTTTGCCCAGGGTCTAGATGGACTTTCATCTTGCTTCTACTAAAGCCATTCAAAGAACAGACCATGGAAAGAACTCTTAGTCATGAAGGTGTTTGATACCACACTAGTGATGGAGGGGAAAGCTTGCCAGGAATTGTGCAAGCGTCATGCTCTGAAAGTGCAGATTAGATAAACTAAATTATTTAAGCTTGTTATGTGAAAAACAGTTCCAGAGACATTTTCTTACTCAGCCCAGCTGAATAAACCCTAAGTAACCAGTGCCTAGCACAGATTGTTCTGTAGCACTGCCAACATTCCTCATGGCAAACAGCTGAGAAGAGATGCTCCTCTGAAGCCATCATCCTGTAGGCAGAAGAGCATGTACTCAGGGTATTTTTCTTACAGCTTATTTTAATAAAAAAAGCCTAGCAGGCTGTGACACATGGAAAAAATCTAGATATCACTCGAATCAACCAAGTAAGTACTATTTAGTTTAAGGAGCATTCAAGTACTGCCCTTTAGATTTTATGCTAAAACTATCACTACAGCTAAATTTAGCCACGTCTTCCAAAGAAGGGGCCCTCACCTGCTATAAACCAAAGCAGTTTTGAAAAGCAGCATAGATCTCCCTAGAGATTATCCCAGCCCAGCAAGTTTCACTGTCTGGAGATGACTCACTACATACTCCTCAGCGTGCCCTGTTCCAGCAAAGCTGCTCAGAGAAGTACAAGAGCTTAGGCACAAGCAGCATTTTCACTGCTTGGCAGTAGCAGTTGACAGCTGACAGGAGCTGAGCAGCCACCTGGGTGGTGAACAGCAGGCAGGAAGATCTCATGCCAAAGAGGTAGATAGAAGCACGCCCACACAAGGATGAGGATGATGTACCACAACAGCATAGACAAGAAAGTACTGATAACATCAGAGATCCAAAGGCAAAGCTGTGTTACACTGGAAACAAAAATCTCAGTTTGTGAGACAAAAATGGCTTCCCAGCTTGCTCCAGACCCAAAGGCTTTTAACTGACTCATTTTCCTGTTTTGGTTTGGTCAGATGCAATAGATGTCAGGCACTCTGAGTAAAGACAAATATTTGAGTGAGTTAGTAGCCAGTCCTGTAACTTCCAGTAATGCTTCTGCAACAGAAGGCAGACAGGATAACAGGTCTGGGGATGCCAGTTACTTATTATGGAGGCAGACTTTTATGGCATGAGTACAGAGTTCATCAGTCTTAACTGGCTAAGCGAATTTACAACCAGTTACATAAGTGTGCTCACAAATGCTCATATTTGAACTCCAAATGCTTTGTTTCAGCTGTGCAGCACAGCTCTACACCTCGATAGGTGTCCACAGCAGTGCCTGAATGCAAAAGAACTCCTAGGTGTTTCACAGCCTCCTAGTATTTTAATATTAAAAGCAATTCTGATGTGTGATTGTAGATTAAGTTTTCGTGGCTGTCCAGCAGCAGATTATGAATTTAGAGCACGTACGTGGCCCAGCAAGCAGGAGTTTAGGAAAGCAGCAGCTGCATAAGCAGCTCACACAAAGCACATAAAAACTGTGCTATTTTTATGAGCAAGCATCAGCATTCAGGTCCTCTTCAGATATGAAGTGGAAGTTCAGCAATAGGCTTATTTCTGGGGCATTACTTCATTTCATCTGAGGCGATTAACACTTTAAACATTAACTCTTACATCACCTTTGTGCTGTAGCACATTGGATACTCTTGCTCTGCAAGAGAGCAGAGCCTGCAATCTGCCCATGTCTGTGGACACTGAGAACCACTGCCTGTATTACAGGGGAGTTTTAATTTTCTTTTTCTTTTTTTCCCCCATTTGCAGAGTAGTTTGGAGGTATTTAAAGGATGCTTTACAAATCAAACCTCATTTGAACCTTGTCCCTTATTTGATGCTAGGGAATGCAATTTAAATTCCAACCAAGAAAGCTCCTTTAGCAGGTCTGCAGGGTTCAATGCCCTCTCCCCCCAAATATGTAGAAAGCAGCTTTTTCTGCCTCAGCTCAGCTAGACTGTTCAATACATGTTTGCTGTGTCTTCACTGTAACAGCAAAAAAAAATTTAAAGCCAAATTTCCACATCCCCTGACTCTCTGAAAAAGAAATTAACAGAAGTGGAGTAGAAGCATTTGCTGCCCACAGAAACTATATGAAGTCAAAACTATTTAGAAGTACAGATTGGCCTCCCTGGTTAAACCACCTCCTTCCCAATTTAGGCAGCTTTTATTTAGTAAAGTGCACATCACAGCCCTCCTCAACCTTCAGTGACAAGAACTATTCTAGTCAAAACAGGACAAGAGTATTACAGCATGTCTTCCTTGCTGATAAGAGCTGGAGAACACGAGGCTGCTGCTGGTGCCACAGCAGAGCACCTAGCAAGGACTCAGAACCCCCACCCCCAAAGGGCTTCTCTCCAAGGTCAATGCTTCAACTCACCCAAAGGGAGCTGCCATTCTTCTCTACCCCTCAATATGTTCTCCTGCCAAAGCTTCAGAGTAACACTGTTCTTCTAGTTTATTATTCTACTGGAAGCTTTCCTCCCAGGGCAGAACACTAAGGAGCTGACAGGAATCAAGCACTGTTTGCTATTAGGTGGAAGAACAGAACACTGAAAAGCTTGCAGGTAGCTTTTCTGACTACTTCTCTCCTTGCATCTAGGAGAAAAGCAGTGACAGTGCAAAAGGGTCTTTGGTACCAGGCAGCCTGCTTATCCAGGATAGATTACTGTGCAAACAAAAGATGAGAAGGATCTAGGCTGGATCTTTGACAGTGTTTACTAACAGGCTTGACAGTCTTTTGCCTCAATCTTTGAGGAGCTTGCCTTTATTAATGATAAGATGTGCAGACACAGAAAACAATTATCCTTGCTGAGGATGACACTTGTGCCATGACTCTACAGGAATAAAGATACAACAAACACTTGATGGTAGAAAAAAAGATCTCTAGCCCAGTAGAGCAAGCACTGGCCAAATTCATCCTCATCAATCAAAGAGTCAGTGCTGCATTTCTACAGGAGTAAGAGAGCAGATGGCAGACTTTCTGTACCAACTGGAAAGCCTGGAAAAGGGGACAGCTGCAGCCAGGGGTTAGGCCCAAGTGTTTGAAGGCACCAATTGCTGTGTTGATTTGCAAGAGTTTCCATGCCAGAAGCAGTCCATTGAATGAAAAAGGGTCTGATTATGCTACTCCACTTGGTAAGCCAAGGTACAGAGCTGGACAGGCATAGAGGAAGGGAAATAAACAGGCAAGAAACAATGAGCTCTAGGAAAACAGTCTCTTGCTTACCAGTGTTTGACCAATATGTAGAAGGCTTCTAGCAGGTAGAGAACTGTAAAAAGCAGTACTAACATCTGCAAGTACAAGGTACCTGGCATGCAGCCATCTCAGGCAATTTTACTGTCCAAAGCTCTTAAATTATTCATCCACCACCACTTGGCTTACTGAATGATGCTATGGTTCAACTGTACTAAACAAGTCCATAGGTGAAGATTGTGCCACAAAAGGGAAATAAAATCCAAAAGTGTTTTTTTCCAAGTATTTTTGAACAGCTGCACAGATAGAATAACTTGGCTTATTCCTGCTTTCTCCCCATTACTGTATTTTTTCAGCAATATCCTTGCCTCTTCCTCCCTTAAGCACAAGGGTGCTGAACAAACCAGGTCTGAAAGCCAGTTCACAGCTGTACAGAAGAACTGGTCTTAGATCTTACAACAAACCCAGTACTGATGTAACAGGAGAGATTGCTGGGCTACTTATTTTGCTTTCACAGTAGAATTTGGAAAGAGCTGCTTAATCAGCTTTCCTAACACTCTGAATAATTAGCAAGTAATCAAAGCCTTGCAAAATTTTTCAGTGGAGTATGGCACAAGCTGTTTTCACATAGCTTTTGGCTAATTAGTCCTACAAACTATTTCATGCATAATTGTAGGATTTAAATATATTTGTTCCCCTTTAGTCTCCCCGTGACTTTCATGCCTAAGGACACTATTTCTTTGATTTTTTTTAGAATCTTTATATTAAAGAATGTCTGTGATAGTATCACTAGAATGGAAAAAAAATACCACAGACACATCTTGCAGAGCTGTCTTTCCTGTAAGCCCTTTCAATGCCCAACAGCAATTATATTCCTGTCTTTCCTAACATAGGTGTACAAGTAACAAGGCTGAAGAATTACCTATCAACTGATTTTGTTCCAGTTTGTTTCAACAGGGTTTTTCCCCTGGGGCCAGGCAGGCCTTTCAGGCAATGCTCTGCCCAAGAACCATATGTGGGAAATCATTGCTACAGTTTTCAGAGAAACTGGCAAGCCTGAGCTCTGAACTGAGCCAGAGAAAGCAAACAATCTGAGATTGCACACTGTTAACACAACACCAGGGTTCTGTGAGCAGGTCTTCACTCCTGCAATTCGTGCACAACAGAGACATGGTGAATTTTAGCCATGTTCTGACTTTTCATTCCTTTGGGAATGCTTTGTTCTGAGTCAGTCAAAACTATGCCTCTAATATGGTAGTGTTAGGAGCCTGTGCCATAGGAACAGAGCTGAACTAGGAGTAAAATGGACTCTGAAGCACCTTAAAATCTGTTTCCAAAGATTAGCCTGAGAAAAATAGGTCTTTGAGACTGGTAACCAGCACAGCTTCATGCTTGCTCTTTCAGTAGCTTGAGACATGTCAATCTGGAGTGCCAACACTGACATGACAAGTGTCTAAGATACACTAAGGATGTTCTAGTTACTTGGTATTCTTTAGGGAAGGAACTGCTTTGCAGTTAAGACACCAGCCATAATCAAGGATCCCATTTCAATGCTCAGCTTCAGACACATTACCACCAAACTCAAGAGAGCATCAGAGAACTCTTTGGGCTCCAATTTAAAACAGATAATGCTTTGTTTCCTGTAAGTTTACAGATCCTATGGCCTAAGATCTTATACCTCAAGTAATCAAGGCATCTAACAGCACCACTAAAAGCCTCTCATCTCCCCTGAAATGACTATCATTATGACAGTTTGACTTTTTAGATCCAAAAGGAAGGTTCATGCAGCTGCACTTGGTGCTTATGAGATAATTGATGTATTTAGGGCTTCCAAATAGGGCTTGCAAGTTTCAAAGTGACTGCAGAAGAGAAATACTGTAATCAAAGTCCTTGTCCCTCCAGAGCCTCATGAAATTGCAGTAAATGCTTCATGTCACTGGGGAAGGTAAGGGCAGCTGTACTGACTCTGGTGGTCCTGCAATGGGAAGGGCAAGGATCAGCCTGCTCAAACACAGTTGACATAAGGTCAATTTGACAAGGCTCAGAGCTGGCCAGTATGTCATTGCTTTACTAAACTGGTTGGGATAATGTGCTCCACCCAGTAATAGATTCCATTAGTCTTCAACCAACTTAAGGCATTTCAGGTAACCATAGGCACTTTAAAACTGATAGCCACCCCTGTGTTTATTTTAAGTGCACAGGCACACCATGAAAGTTTCCTTGCAGAGAGCCCCAACAAATTTCTTCCCTAACAGAAAGGGAAGTGCTGACTGCATCCATCCCTCCCCTATTCCCACAGACAGTGGGCTATGGAATGCTGGTATAACACAATATTGGCATACAGCTACTATATAGAGGGGCAGAGATTACTTTTTCCTTACATCCAGCACAACAAGACTTGGTGCCAAACCCAGGCACCTGGAGCACTAACAGTAACAAAACACTTACTTGGAACATGTTTATTTTCCTTCCCAAGAGAATATCGTGACATTCATTTACACTCAGGTTTAGGAAACACACTAGGCAGAAGAATGGTTAAGTGCAGGTCAACACAGGTTAACATGGAAAAAAAATGTTAACTTACTCTTTGGTGAGAAGTGGGCAGGATTTGATTAGAAAGCGGGCCAAAGCAGAGTCCTGGTAAATGAGTTCAGGAGGGGCAGTTGGGCTTTTTAAATTCAAGCAGCGAACAATCACGTACAGAACAGCAGCCACTGCAGCCAGCTTCACCCCATCAAACACTGCTGGCAGCTCAGGGGTTTCCAACATGGCACTCATTTTGAGCCTGGAAATAAATTAAAAAAAAAAAAATCAAAGCTTTTAGCAGTATACCATTGGATATTTAACAATGCCATGTTACACGGGCTGTGCTAACCAACTGAATGTATAACTGACTGTATCAATGAACACTGCTACAAAAATCCTAGTGTATCAACTTAGATTAGCACCTCTTCAGATGAAATGGAGTTTATTTTGTACTGCTATAAAAATCCTGACCACCATAAGCAATAGAAACTGGCTCATCAGCTGGAAAGGAGGTTTACTCCTAAGCAGTGCTGCACTAGCATTGCAACAGTGTCTCAGGTGTCAAACCCTGCAGCCTGCCAACAATCAATCCTTCAGGACCTTGGCCAAGACTAGCCAGCTACAATAAAAGCTGAGCTTGATTCACCTATAAAGACATCATCAGCTTTGGTGTGTGCTGCTTCCAAGATCTACAAGCCAGGCTTGAGGAGAACTTTAAAGAATTACTGTGTTCACAAGTCCATGAGAATACTGGTACTAACTCCCACGTGAATTTAAGGTGGTCACTTTATATACCAGTGAGTTTAACATTTTTTTTTTAATTCACTGTAGTTCTGCAGCTGAAGGAGGACTAGATTTATATATAGTCTTTTCAAGGGCTTCAGAGTAAAGGCAGGAGGGCAGGAAAGAGAATTTTAAAAGCCACAATAACCTTCCAGCTTGAAATAAGTTTTTTTTAAACCAATCCAGCTTCTTTTGAAGATGTGGTTGAAACATCTGTCTACAGTTATTACAGAAACATTTCATTCCTATTGAAAGGGCAGGTTTTTCCCTCAGCCACACAGATAGCCCAAATAACATAGCAACTGACAACTCGAGTCTTACCAATGTCACTTTTTCTTCAGACTAGAAAGAATTGCCAGTCCTTGGAGCTGTCACTGTCTGGATCCACGTGCTACCCACGCTGCCCTGTGAGGGTAGAAAAAGCAAACTGGTTATTACTGATAAGGCTGCACCTCCCAGCTGCAACACTGAGTTTACAGAGGTCCCATCACAGGCACTGTAATTGATTTGTGTAGTCAGTCACGACCACTTCAGCTCCAATCCATCAAGCCTCTTGCCCGTGGACAGATTCCAGACCAGATCCATTGCCTACAGCACATTAATTCATCTGCAGTGTGCAAATAAACCTACAGGAGTAGAGACAGACAAGGCAATAGTGAAAACCAGTGCAACCACAGAGGAAAGCCAAGCTCTGAACTTCCAGAAGATCACCCAGTGGCCATCTTCACGAGACAGTAACATTGCCCCCAGTTACAAAAACTACCCAAACCTCTTCCTATTTAGGAGACTACAAGTTCTTCTCAACTTTGTGCAGTATCTGCACTGTTACTGAAGTGTGAAGCCAGACTGAAAGAAGTTTCCTGCTACTTTCACTCAGGCTTAGCAAAGCAGCTCACTCCTACAGACAGAAGCTTGTAAAGAGTCACTGCTTGTTCCAACACTTCCTTTATTTGAGAAGTTACAGCATGTCACACTTCAACAACGTGGTGAGTGTCACCAGGAGGCTCGGAGAGAGCCACCTAATTAACACCAGTGCACACGCAGCAAGGCTTGTTACAAGAATTTGATGATGCCATTAAAAGACAGCTTTCAGCCTGGGACTAAAAATGTGAAGTGGTATTTACAATTGGAACTGGGTTCCCACAGGCACAACAAACCCATGGGGAAATGCAGCTTCTAGAAAAAAAGCTCCCAAACTGTCTGCTCCCCAGCACAGCCACTTCTTCCAAGACTGAAAACACCCCCACAGGACAGGCCATACCAAACCCTTGCTCTTCTTCCTAGCAGGAAGACAAAACCTCAGAAGTACTTTCTGTACTCAGTGCAGCTACACCAAAATCTCTCAGAAGAAAACAAGTCTGACATCAGCCAATGATTAACACCCCACTGGAAAGCTGCAAGTTTCTGCCACCATAACCATCTGCATTGCAGGAGAACAGAGGCTGAGGAAAGCAGAGACATTTAATATTTAACAACTCTGAAGCTTTTATTTTCCAGTACTGAGCTTCACAGTAGAAGGGAATGAGGAGCAGGCTACAAAAACCCCATTTATTCTTCTAATCAGAAAATTATACTGGCATCATACATGTCAAAGAAGAGTTGGAGTAGAGGGTTCAGCTGCAGTATGTCACCTCACTTCCACACTGAGACACTCAGCAACACTACAGCCAACTGGACAAAAGACAACAGGCAGACTAAAGCAAAGGCTTCTCCAGAGAAAGTACAACCAGAAGGGGAGACCAAGTTCCTAAACAATCACTGACTTGAGGATAATCAGGTGCTCCACCAAATCTTCCCCAGCTGGAACTCCCAGGAGCTTTTAACATCTTCCTTTCATTGTTTTCTTTAGAAAATTGAGACAACAATACAAAAGTTCCCCAGCACCTTCCTGCCATCTGGATTTTAAACTAGTTTTTGTTTACAGCTTTTATGTTATTGGCTAATTTGGTAAAAATAAAACTGGGCATGATGAGTCATTGTACCAGTGACTCCATGTAACTGATCCAACCAAGCTGGAGCTCCCTGACAGTCTTCTCTCCCACAGAACCTTCAGACTACAAACACACCACATCTTTTCTGATACTTCTGTATCTCATTTTAGCCTGTCACTACCTTAAAAAGGAACTTAGGTTGTAAGGGACCTTCCATTCTTGGATTCTTTGATTTGAGAGGTCTGCCTCTAATCACATAGGACAAATGCCTCCCTATTCACAAGCTGGAATGAGGTCACCTTGCTTCTGTTTTGTTAAGCCCACTTTGCATTGACCCAATAAATAAACGTGTTTATGAAGAGGGACAGATAACCACAATGTTGAGCCAGTCAAATTTTAATCTAGAACCTCTTCTAAATGGGTCAGCACTAATATAAACTTTTAGCCTTTTCTGTACACAGAACACTAGATTCACTTTTAGCATGCTAGACAATTAGCATGAGGCAGTAGGTGTATCACTGGAAGCAATGAAGCCTGCCTCTTCATCCATCACAGGGTTTGGGATGTGCACTGAGGAACACAAAGAAAGTAAAGCTCTTTGGGCCAAGAATGTTCTTCTGAAGCACCAGAAGTGTGCAGTTCATCATTTAAAAGCATGACAGCCCCAAAGACTGGCAGCCTTTTCAAGCAAGATTCTCCAGTCCCCTTTGTGACCAAGGACTGATTTTGAAAATCAGTCACTGGAAAGCAAGGGGTGAATTTGTGGAGTCTTTTCATTTGCCCTTTCACCACCAAATAAAAAAAGCTGAAAATCATGTTACAGGAAACACTTCTAGATTGTTGTCAACAGAACATTCCTCACCTGTACAAGTGTAATGAGAAAAACTTATATATCCTTTCAGTGATGTTGGGTTTTGGGAAAGCCATCAACAAGGTACTCACTTGTACAGCAAGTGAATTATGGTAACTGACAACAAATCTGAGAGCTGTAGACATTTCTGTTCCAGGTTTCCTGGAGTCTCCTCAGGGACAGAAGACACTTTAGCCCATGACTCAGCTCAGTGAGGCACACAGAAGATTAGGTAGCTACCAAGCATCACAGCTCCTCCACCCATCCCAAGCTAAGCCTGACTCTGCATACTGGAAAGCCAACATTAAAAAAGCAAAGACATTAAAGGAGGGCACTCCCATAGGGTCCTTCCCTCGGGCCTGTTAAGGAGTGACTAAAAGCCTGGCAGACTCATTTCACTGAAGAATTAGAAATGCTTTGGGCTAAAGCAAAGCTAGAGCTGTATGGAACTGCCCACAGACAAGAGGAAAGGCAGCCTCTTTAAAAGAGGCTCCACTAACAAGGTATTTTATGCTTTGTTACATTCACTAAAGAATCTTGAAGGATCTTGTCTCCAGCAATTGCAGTTTGGTAAAAAAGCCTCCCAGATGCCCTCCTACCAGTGCTTTCAGAGCTCACCAAAACACTGGAGCATGCCTGGCCAACACTGAATGTGTTTTAAAAGCCCTGTTCCTCTCCTTTTACAGCTTCTACCAAGTAGCTTAAGACTCTCTCCTGCCCACTAAGACTCAGAAGAGCTCAAAGGGCTGTTTCTAGACAGATTAAGCAGACAGCCTTGATTAACTAACTTATCAGACATTTCTTGGACTGGTTTCATTTATTCCCCAAGCAGGCACTACAAATAAGACTCTGAAAGCAAGCCTGCTAGACAAGAAGAAAACAAAACACCCTACTTTAAAAGAGATGTGCCTACACAGATTCAGGTCAGAAATATATATTTTTTTTCCCCTCCTCTTTAATGAGGGCAGAAGCAAGGCTGTTTCACTGAAATTAGTTCTTTAGGGAATGTTTTCAGGAAATTTTAATATCAGCCAAAGCTAATGCCTCTTCTAACACATACACTGTAAACCCAGAAGTTCCAGGCCTGTTACTACCAGGCAAGATATTCAGAAACACATTGTGGAGAAGGGAACTTTATTAAGGGAAGGGTGGCAACGCAGAGCTCTACAAAGGTTTTAAACAAAGCCAAGTTTTGTGCCAGCATATTATTTGAATCTCACTCCAGGAAGTGTACAGAAGTCACACTGCTGAGCTTTGCATGGTTTAAATACAGAGGATGATGTTTACAGACCATCCAGATGAAAATGTACGTAGGAAATGTAGACACGTGGGAAAGACTCTGGGGCAACGTGTCTCGACAGGAAAGGCTGCCAGGCTAAGTTTTTGTAAGGCACTGGAGGACAGTCTGAGGTCACACAAGCTACACGAGTACAGGAATCTCTGCAAGAGGAGTATGAAAAAACCCTTAAGCTTTATTGCACAGACCCACATCCTGCCTTTTATCCAGCACTTTTTGTATAAAAAAATGCTATGCTTTTACTTTTAAACTGGTAAGCCTAAACTGCTACTTTAAGGACTCCCAAAAAGTTACATAGATATGAGGATTTTTGGGACACACCAGCACTATGCCTCATCTTTTTAGGCAAAGCAAGGCATCACACTGTTTATTTCAAGCCTAGCATCTAACC